CTCTCTCTCTCTCACTCTCTCTCTCTCTCTCTCTCTCTCTCTCTCTCTCTCTCTCTCTCTCTCTCTCTGTCTCTCTCTCTCTCTCTCATTGTGTGCCACTGTTCCTATCTTCCTCCTCTTGGTAAGTTTCCAGGTTTCCAGTTCCCTAGTTCAACTAGTCCTTTTGTGTCTGTGTGGGTGTGCTAGAGGGCCACAACCCGGAGGGTTTCCAGCAGCCAATCATCCTCACCATTAGAGGCTTTGTCGAATACCTGGCCCTTCTTAGATTCTGTGCCTAGTGGATCCTGAAAACGCACAGACCATTAGTTCCTCTCTCCCTGTGACCAACATCCCAGATATCCCTCCTGTCTGTGACTCCTACCAACTCCGCAAACCCTGGAGCTCACGTAACCTAGTGCCCTGGTCCCTAGACCGTGACAATCATGTTGTAGTTCCTTTTTCACTTTCCACCCACCTTGGCTTTCACATTTTCCCACCTTGAGCTATTCCCTTTAGTCCTGTTATATTGTACTTTGTAAATTTGGAAATCAAAATGATAATTGTCTATACATATATAGCACACCATTTAACTGTCTTGTGGTTAGCAGCAAAAGTTGCCTGGCTGCATGATTTATGGTAGAAATGCCATAAAAGCAGTTAGCATACCATTTAGAGACAAACTCCTCTTAAAATGGGTAAGTGGGGCTCATTTCAAATGTTTGCTGAATTCACCCTGAACACCAAGACCTAAAGGGTGTATAAAACCAAAGGCTTTGATGCTGTAATAGCTGACATAAAATATGAGCTCTTATAGAGCCATGTGTATTGTAGGACAGATTATTGTATTTAGTAAATAAGCCTACACACTACAGAGTTTGGGAGACTGATTAGGATATTTAAGATGTAGCCAGTGAAGGACCTTTTTAATCTGGCCTACATATTCCAGGACTGGCTGGATCTTTCTAATTTAGCGTGTAAAGTGTTAATGCGTCAAGTCACATCTGTTGGATCTGTTGGTTTATAGCCAGCTTTATTCCTCATGAGTAAGACCTATAAGTATAACAGAATGTGATTAGAAACAACATTTTAATGAACCTTATAGTGTAACAACGGTTATATTTTTTGGTACTGCCTTATTATTGACTCCGTTGTGTGTATATGATTAATGTTGTTAATATCTCATATAAAGTTCATTTAAAGATAAATATATATATGTAACACAAAACCAACCAAATATGGAGCATATAAAACTGGTTTAATAACTTACGCGGTCCTAAAAGATATCCTGCACTGTTCAATGTCCAGCCACGCTTCTCTTTACCCTAAAAATACATTTAGTTCAAGTCAGAAAATGGATCCCAAGGCATTTTGGAGGAACATTCACAATAAATAAAGGGTACTGCTAAGGCATGTACATTTGCTTGGCTGGTCCAAGATTCATAAATTACTTAATTTTAGGTTTGATGCTGACATACGTTACTATATTTGTTAGGGAAGGTCTCTGTGTGGGGGCCAGGAAGTAAGGTGACACGTTTAGAAGGTATTCCTATTTGTCAAGTCCAGGAGACATTGGCTCGTTATGCCTGCTTAAAGTGGCCACAAATGACCTCCTGGACGTCAGAGTACTTCATGATGAACAACTGCACCACCAGGATGAGGACATGTGCCAGGTGAACGGCAATCAGCAGGTTTGTATCATTGTCACACGTGGCTTTGCCTGGATGAAAATGAGGTGAGGAGAACCACCTCTCGGCCTAAGTCTAGAGAGCTGCCAGTGTCTCATGCCCAGTGTGGCCTGGTACCTTGCATGTGATCTAGGGTTTGGGGCAGACTGCTGGTTCCTGTATACCGAGATTCCTACCTACTTTACACTTTGTTGCAATAGAGATCTATTATATACCCTGTTGCAGTATAATTTTACAGTTATACAGCAGTATTCAGAGCAGATTTGTAATGTGTTTTATTGATATATGAAAGTCCATGATTAATCTAAAATAATTCTCCCTCAGTACCTCTTTAATGTTTTCTACCTACAACATATATTGTTTTAATAAAAAAGCCAGCAGTACCCTGCACTAATATCTTGTACCCATAATACACAGTAATCTGTTTGAGTTATGAATGTCTTTTTTAGGGACTTATATGTGTTTATTTATTTTTTTGTAGCCCTGAAAAAATGGTAGGTCTTTGAGTCCCCAAAATGTATTGGCTGTACTGTGCTGACTTTTGTGAAACCATTCTATTGCTAAAAGTTTTTCTCATGTTTTCTTGTGTTTTCTTGTTTGGTGCTCCCTTTGGACTTTATATACATGCCTAAATTTAATAGCAGCTATGACAATAGGGGGTAATGTGGTGCTTTGTTGCACACTACTTTTCCGCACAAATATGGGGTGATGTGCTGCAAACAAAGGGCAGCTTTGCCTGTGACAACAACAAGTGTGCGCTGTGCACCTAAAATAATAAAAAAGGCCTTAGCAAGAAAATTAAAAACACTTTTATATAGCCCAACACACTGCAATGCACAAATCACATCATAACACCGTATAGCAATTAACTCTTGTTACACAGCTCTCTTAAAACTACTCCAAAACACAATGACAAATGGTTGGTGGGATCCTTTTATGGATCACAAAGCTCTCATTATTGGCTCTTCTAAAGCCGTGTATACACTGTTTTATTTTTTTCGTTCAACCTATGGTCTGCATGAAAAAAATAGAACAAATTCCTCCATCAACACTTACGAGCATTGATGGACAGCGGCTGCTGTCAGAATACCCAAATGGAGCCTGCAGCTGATCGGCTGATCAGCTGATTGAGGGATACTGGGCGGGAGGATGTCAGCAGTGGCACCTACGCAGCAAATTGCGGCCGGTTCATCAAGAACCAGCCAAAATTTGAAGCGTGTATAATCAGTTTAAGTTGAAAGGCCAGGCAGTGAGTGCAATATGGTTATAAATAGGGATGTCCCGATACTGATGCTAGCATCGGAATCGGGCCCGATACAGGGCATTTTGGCAAGTACTTGTCAAAATGCCCCGATACATAGCGGCAAAGCTTGAGCTATGTTTTTTTTTCTTACTTACCTCGCCAAATGCCGCGTCACTGCTGCTCCGGTGGACGGCACTCCAGCTGGGGTCCTAATTTAGGTGGCCGGAGACTGCCAGATGACCCCGCTCGGAGCGCCGCCCACCGGAGCAGCATGTGACGCGACGCTCAGCGAGGTAAGTAAGAAGAATTTGGGGGGGGGGGGGGATCACTATTAAGCAGAGTCTAATTGTAAATGTATTGTCTGCACTGTATTAGCAGTATATACTCTATATGTACTACATATAGAGTACATATAGAGTATACACTCATTTAACCCATAACCCAGTACACACACACTCATTTAACCCATTCATGTTAGCAGAGTATAATGGTAAATGTATTGTTTCAGGCACTCTATATGTACTGTACATGTACTATATACTACTTATATAATGCACTGCAACAAAGATTTACAATTATCCCCTGCTAATAAGAATCGGTTAAATGATCCATAGTACATGATATGTAGCCCTGTACTACGCAACATTTAACCCATTCATGTTAGCAGTGCAGAATTGTATATCTATTGCAGTGCATTCAATCTGAACACATGTCCCGTACATTGCAGCAATAGATTTACAATGATCCCCTGCTAACATGAAAGGGGTTAAATGATCCATAGTACAACTACATGTTGTGTACTATTATGAACTATGGATCATGATTTAACCTATTCATGTTAGCAGGGGATAATTGTAACTCTATTACTACAGTGTACTGGACGTGTGTACTGCATATGTACTATGGATCATGATTTAACCTATTCATGTTAGCAGGGCAGAATTGCGAGCGCCTCCCACAACTGAGCACCAAGACGCGATGCAGCGATCCTGCCCAGCGCCGACTACAAGAGGCACCTCCTGAGGCAACAGGGAGTGAAACTGTGAGTGAGGGAAGCTGGGACGGGGCTGGCTATAAATCTATTGCTATAGTGTACTGGACATGTGTAATGTATATGTAGTACATATATACAGCACACCCCTCCTCTACACTCCAGCAATAGAGTAACAATTCTCCCCTGCTAACATGAATAGGTTAAATCATGATCCATAGTACATTACATGTAGTTGTACTATGGATCATTTAAAGTCACTTGTCCCTTTTTTTAAAAAGTATCGGTAATTGGTATCGGCAAGTGCATGAGGGAAAGTACTTGTACTTGGTCCTGAAAAAGTGGCATTGGGACATCCCTTGTTATAAACAATTCAGTCTGCTGAATTTCCACATTACTTCACTAGGAACGTCGAGCACGAAGGGTTTGCCTCAAAACCATGGTAGCGGCGAACATGACTCTCATTCCTAACCAATAAATAGTAAAACTGCTCAATTCAAACCTGCTGATGATAGCAGACAATTGGGTGGTGAAGGAATGCAATTTTAATGGCTCTCCTTCACAGCAACAATGGTTTATTTTAAGATAAGAATAGGTACTCATTGCTTTAGTGTCTCTATCAAACTAAAAATACAGAAGTAGACTTTACTTTGTTCTGTTAGATCAGTGTTTAACAAATTGTATTAAAGTATGTATAACTATTTTCTATTTGGCGCAACAAGTCACATCCAACAGCATTTACTTCTTTTCTAAGCAGTCACTGAAAAAAATGGGCAAGCATAAAGATTTGAGCAACTTTGCCAAGGGCAAAGATGACTGGGTCTGAGCAACTCCAAAACTGCAGCTTTTGCGGGATGTTCCCATCTGGAGTGGTCAGGACCTACCAAAAGTGGTCTAAGGAATGAAAATCGGTGAACCAGAGACAGGTTCATGGGTGGCCAAGACTTTATCTCTGGGAAAGTTCTGCTGGAAAAAGTTCAATCCATGGAGGCCTCACCTCACAACTTATAGATTACTGACAGCTTGGTGCTAGATACCACAGCATACCTTCAGAGGTCTAGTGGACTCCATGCCTTGACTGGACAGGTTTGTTTTGGTGACCTACTCAATATTAGGTGGGTGGTCATAATGGTATGGCTGATTGATGTATCATGACAAGCAACTGTCGGTGACTGCATGTCCCGCTACAATTAAGGTGTGAATAGACCATGAACTCAGCAAACGTGTATTGCACCAGGGGGAGGGATTAATGCCCCCTGCTCCCCAGCCCAGTCCTCCCATGGGTGTGGGAGTAAACCTTTGCAAATATGAGACAGAATATACCAGCTTCATGCACATGTAAGAATGGAACCTAAGTGCTTCAAGCGAAGAGTGCTTGCCACTTGGTTTTAATGTATCCCTTTATAAAAACTAGTGTTAAACAAGTACCCTCTGGTGTGAATCACATAATCCCAAGTGCCCCTTGAATTTTGTACCATATCACCTGTATATCCAAGTATATATTTATAGTGATAAGTGAATCATGGATTTGTGCTGCCAATGATCTGCTTCATAGGGAAAATTATTTGCTACAAATAGATGGGTCCAACTGCAGTCCATAAATGAATGGATAAAAGATCAACACAACAGAATAAGGATGGGTCAGCCCATGGTCTTAGGGATACACTACATCAGGGGTGGCAAACACAAGGCCCGCGGGCCGAATCCGGCCCGCCGGACCTTGTAATGTGGGGGGGGGGCACGAACTGGGGTTGTGTGTGTATTATATGTACATATATATAATGTACAGGGGTTGTATTTTTTTTAATTTACATGGAGCGGCTGTCACCTGATCATTAACTTGACTAGGTGACAGCTGTCACTTGAAAACGCCAGATTAGGGATTTCTGCTGCAGTCTGAGCAGTCTCCAATAAAGTTTCTTGTGGATGTTTTCAAGGCTAGTTATTACTTAAATTATTATTAAAACCAGTAGCAACTGAATGCAGAGGCAACTATTTATGATAATAAAGAGTAGATGCATAGTCCTATACAACCGGCCCTTTGAGGGTAACCATACTGCTGATGCGGCCCCCGATGAATTTGAGTTTGCCACCCCTGCACTACATCTTCATGATCTGTATATCCTACTTCAGACCCTACTAAAATTCATGTGTGGGCTTTTCAAACAAAGAAGGGATTTGGTAAGACCATCAAGGTACTTCTTTATTATTCAACTGACCACATCAGTTGAATTGATCATTGGCCAATATGGAACTAAATTTAGAAAATAAAAACATTGCTAATGTGCACAATGTTTCAGTATAAGAGACTTAATATACGTCTTCCCAAAAAATTCCTTTACCTTTCTACTAGTATTTTTTTAAACTAACACTGCCTGCCACATATGTTCAGTGCAATGTTTATTTTTCTCTGGCTCTTGTAAAAAATGCCTAAGAGAAGGGTTTATTGTCAGGATTGTGCCACACCATTATCCCTATCACTGGCTACTCAATGTCTAAATGAGGACCACCATCTGTAGAACAGCCTTAAAGTAATACTCAGGGGTTAAATCTTAAAAATGCATTCAAGTAGCTTAACTATTAACAATACTGTACCTTATTAGTGTATCAATCAGCTGTAGATCCTCAAATAATCTCTGAATTGGTGCTGACACTGTCCTTCCTTCAGGGCGATGGCTACTTTTGTTCCCTATGGTTCCTGTGTGTGTTGTAAAGCAGGCACCGCTCCAAATTCATTCATGTGATAGATTATAAATGTAATACAAATTAGCTAACTAAACGTGAGACTGTAGTCCATCACGGACGCAAGCTTGGAGCGGTGGCTACTTTACAACACACACAGGGACCATGGGGAACATCAGTTGCCACCGTCCAGAAGGAAGGACAGTGTCAGCATGAATTCAGAGATAATTTGAGGATCTACAGCCGAGTGATACACAAATAAGGTACATTATTGTTAATATTTAATGCACTTGAATGCTTTTTTTCAGGTTTAACTCCTGAGTTTAGTGTGACTTTAAGAGAAAAGGACACTGGAGCTGTAAAGTGGCAAATGGAAAGTGAAGCTCTCTTCACCGGAACACCACAAACACAGAGGTAGGTTTGCCATATTGAACAAGTATGCTGTGCTTGCTCATTATATTGTTACTCACACTTCCACTGTAGTAGTTGAAGATAAACCATTATGTACTTTCATTAACTACACATTTTGAGTTTTTATTGTAAGAGTAACCTGAAAGTAATTTTTGATTTGGCTTCCATATGTTTACTTACCTTCTGTTCCAAATTTTCATTAGGACATTTCATCTGTAGATTTGTAGCTAGTGGCTATTTGTATGTTTGACAGGTGCACAGATTTATTTAACACTCTCTAAAGGTGCCCATACACTGCTCGATTCTCGTACGAGAATCGGGCGAAATCCCGCGATCGTACGAGAATCGAGCAGTGTGAACTAAGACGTGCGACCGTTTCTACTGTACGGTCGCACGTCTTTTGTCGAGCCAACATGCTCGAAAACCCGCCGAGAATCGTACGATTCTCGGCGGGTTTCTAGCCTGCTCGTCCGATAGCTGCGGAACGGGCCGGTGTGCGCACGCGCACACTGCCCGTTCTGCATTGCCGTCATCGGAAGCCCGCCCCTCAGCGGGGCGGGCTTTCAATGATTGCAAGTACGATCTGCCCGTCCAAGGTGGCAGATCGTACGGGCTTTCAAGAAGCATACGACCATCGCAAGACAAAAGTCTTGCGTTGGTCGTAAGGTGTATGGGCAGCTTAAGACAACAGGACACACCAACTAGGGTTTGTTTTGCTTTTATCCAGTTCACACATGCTCTCATAGCATTGTAGTACACATTTATTTTTAAATATATTTACATTAAATCTACAAATATTTTTTAAACTATTGGTACACATTGATAAGGCTATTTACATTAAGATGAGAACATTTGTACCTCTAGATTACCTTTTACTAGACTGAAGGCATTAGCCAGCACAAGAAACTATGGTGGGAGTTGGACTACATGTATTGTATAAGCAAGCTAGGGATGTGCAAAAGGGAAGTACCACTGAGAGGGAAGGTAGCACACAAATTGTGTAAGATATTTAATTTCTTTTATGTTTTAATGTTATGAACTGCTACTTTTATTATGTATTTTTGCCTTTAGAAATAATACAGATGGGGTTCACGTAGCTTTACAGCCAACAGTAAGTTGGAACATTTTTTCCCCTCAGAAAACAAAGCTGATTTGGACCAAGACATTAAAAAAACTATCTATCTATCTATCTATCTATCTATCTATCGATAAAGACAATAGTTATATATATTTGTTTTAAAACAGAACTCCGGGTAAAAATGTTATTAGTCCTTGCAGTGGGGGGCTATACCCGCATTGCATGGGTTAGGTGGGTATTTTTGTCTAGGATGAGAGTGTTTGCTGAGAGACATACCATCTCTGCAGCCTAGAAGGAGACATGCAAGGAGGGAGCGCTGTTGGAGTCAGCCATATCAGAGGATCGAGTGAGTTTATCTTTGTTATTTTCATGCCTAGACAAAAATAAGCACTTAACCCTTGCAGTGCGGGGGTAGCCCCACTGCAAGGGTTAATAAAAATTTTACCTGGAGTTCTTTAAGCTTGAAATATTTTGTAAACAAAAATGCAATTCTGGTTCTTAATCTAATTTAACGCCAACAACTCTAATTTATGACAAATAATCTATGAACAAAGAGCAAGTTCTCATTCTAAATCTAAAACCAATCTAAATCTACAAGGTTAAAAACCTGAACCTGTATACAGAACAAAGCAATGTTCTTATAAATGTAATATATATAGTGTATTTGTTAAACTGAAACCATTGATCATTCACTGAAACCATTTTACATTTTAACAAGTTGAATCATTTGAATATTTCTCAGCCAGAGTTAAGTAATGCAATAATATGGAATATTTATAAAAGCTGAAAAAAGTAAATGATCTACAAAACCTGCCAAATCGGATTCCTTGTTTTATTTACCCAGATGATAGAATATTAAATGTGATTGGCCACTACTCACTATGAGCAAAATTTTCGTAGTTACAGGAATCTCTCTCTCTCTCTGTCATGACTTAGAAAAGGAGTAGAGAATGTTCACCCAGCATAGTGAAGCTGTGTTCATTTAGGATAGCCAGTCATTTGCAGGGAGAGTAAACAAACAAACAAAAAACAGGATTTTGCCTTGCACGTGATTGTATGACTGCAGTGAACACAATTTAACTTTGGTCAGAAACATTACTACTCTAGCTAATTGACCAGTATATGTATATATAAATATATAGAAAATGTACTTACTGATAAAACTAATCCAAATGTTTGTGAGATTGTGGCACACAGTATTAAAGACACCAGGAGTAGACTTGTACACTTTTGCATCTGTATAATAATATAAGTAAAACATAGCTGGTTTAAAGACATAATAAAATACTTTTATTTACATTTTAATTTAAGCAAGTAAATTTATCTAAGAGAAACATAGAAACCTGGCTGGCAGCATACTTGGTAGCTAAGGAACACAGATGAGTATATAGTGTGTAGTACTGAAGGTGTTTTATACTAAATTACACATCCTTCATGTAACCCCTTTCTGAGTTTGCCTTTGCTGTGTATTAATGGAACCACAGACTAGGCACACTAGAGACTTCAAAGCCTAAAGGCATCAAATCATTCCTATTTTAACACCAGGGAACAGGTTCAAATATAGCGAACATTCTAAATGTGTTCATATTCCTTCGAAATATGTTCACAAATCTGTTCTATGTAATCTTCTGTTCAAATTATAGCATGCTGCACAATACAACTACTGCTAGCAAAAAGAGGCTGTGACCTGTGTTTGGTAGTCAGCACTGAAAATGTTATGATTTGCTTTATACACCTAATTATGCACAACTATGTTTTTATATGTGCTACCTGAATGCCAATACAAACTTCATTAGGTTTACTATACTTTTCCATATATCATGTGTTCTACAAAGAAGCACACTTTTAATTTTTGATAATGCAAGACGAAATGCAGAAGCAATTTAACCCGCTCTGCCTGTTAAAAATTTTCAGATATAATTCTATTTGTGAAAAGTTCTACCTTCACTGTGATTCCAGAGAATACCCCAGCTCGACAGTAAT